AGCTCCCGCTAGGGGGCGCGCTCTGGCCGTGGCGCCGAGCCCAGCGGGAGAGGGGGGCTCTGCTGCGAGGACATAGGCAGCCGGGGTCTGCGAGGCCTCCGCAATGACATCGGCGTTGGGGCCCTCGCTGCTCCTGACCCGAGTTGCAACCCGGGCCCCCCGCCACTTCCGGGGTCGTCGGGAGAGGCAGCTAGAGTAAAGGCTGCACGGGGAACGCTTCGGCCATTGACGCACCTGTGCCCCTGCCGTCCGGAGTTGGAGAGGAGCAACCAGGTGGTGGTGATTACAGGGATCCGAGAAGTTTCCTGTCGGGGCTGGAAACCTGGGGGATGGGTGCGTCAGGAACTGGGGGCTCACGCCGAGGGATTTAGGGTGGATGCCCGACCACTTGCTTCTCGCCCGTGGGAGGGAACCTCCCCCCACCCCCTTTCCAGGACAGACCTGAGGCTGTGACCATGTTTCCTGGCTTTGTGCTGGCAGCAAGGCTTGAAAATGCCTCGGTTGGCCGCCTGGATGGATGGGGGATGGAATGTCGGTTTTCTGTCTACTTCTCGCTCCCCCACCCCCTTTCCTGGCTGCTGACCGGTAACCGAAAGTGGCGGAAGTTTGCAGATCAGGGGAGTTGTCCTAACACAGTAATAACACGCACACGTCCATACCTTGAGGGCATGGCGGTGGCCCTCGGGACGCTTCCAAATGCGCCGCTTCCCTACAAACCTCTCCCAGCCGAGCCTTAATGGTGGAACCCATGGCTCAGGCGATAGACATAGGGAGGAGGAAAGGATTAGCATCGCCAGGGAGTCCTCCCTGGAAATCCAAGTTATTAGTCTCTTAGGACCTTTCCACCCGCTGCTCCTTTGAAAACACATCAACAAACAAACACCGTCCACAGACAGATCCCAGCAGCCATGGGGAGAACTGAGGCAGGGGTAGGGAGTGGAGGGCAAGCAGGGGCAGAGAAACCGAGGGGCAAGTGCTAGACAAGCGGATTATGTTACATTTCCTACCATTACCAGACTTCCAGGAGGAAAGACCTCGATTGGTGCATAAAATGCATACCCTGAAGTGGATCAGACTCTGAACGCAGCATTTGAGGTTAACCTTGACTGGTTGGAGTTAAGGAGGGTGGGGGAAGGCAAATATTTCTGTTTGTGCCCTCTGGTTCTTCCCAGCACCGGCTGTCAATCCCGACCCTTGTTATCCTCACAAGGCTTCAGTTTGTTTGCCTGATCTCAGCAAGGTTTTCTTCCACAAGTAGAACTATAATTGCTATAATTCTACTGTATCATTTGGATCATTGCAGTATTGTTGTTTTCTTTCCCTCTTTCCCCCTAACACTGCAGTAACTCGCTCCAGTGTTAAATTAGCAGGTTGCAGAAGACCATAAATGAATGAAAGTTTATTAAAAAAAGAAATTAAATAAATAAAACAGCAAAATGACTTGGCAAAGGGGAATATCACATCACAGAGAATCCTCAAGTGTAATCAGGACTTATTGTCTTCCCTTCCAATGGCTTCCAAATTGGTCGCCAGACTTCAATGAAGTTTATTTCTATTGTTTAAATATATGTTTTGAAGAGGTTGAGCATAATTTAAGGGGACCTGAGCCATCCGGTGTGGCTGGAAGCCCATTACAGCTTTATTTATCTATGTGTCTATTGCACAATAAATTAAAACATCTCAAATGAAAAGTGTGCAAGGTTAACTCCAAACATTTTCCCCTGTGTGATGCCGTATCTAACTGCCACCCCCTTATCCAGCATTTCTTGCAAATACAATTTTGAAACTACAATGTAGAATTAGCTTTCACCACAGAAAAGAAAGGGGTTTCTTCCATTTGCCTCTTCTAGGTAATTATTATTTCCAGTCCTGGGGATGAGCCTCATTTTTTGCCATAAACAACAGTTTTAAACACTTCTAAACCTCACTTGTGGCAATAATTGTCATTTTAATTTTAGCGATTGATTTTAAAAGCAGATGAACTGCCAACCATTGTTTTCCAGGCAGCCCAGGAAAATAAAACCAAGGTACAAACCCCAAAGATTAGAGGAGCCAGGAGTTGTGAATAACCAAGTACAAACTTGACTAATAGTATCACTAATATGAAATTACTTCTGATTAATGGGTTAAAAAAAGTGAAGAAAGTGAGGTGAAAAGTCATTTTGCTGAGATAGTAAATATTAAATTGGCTAAACTAAAAGTTATTTTATACAGTCTTATAGCCCAACTCTTAAAAGTCTACCTACCAACGAATCAATTAAATTCTTCCGAAATATTAGAGGAATAATCTGTTTCCTAAAATAACATAGGATAACACACAGACATCTTAAATCCATATACTGATTAGACACTGTGGCGATGCCAGCAGATTCCATCTCTCTGTGGTTTCGTTAGAAAAGTTTTCTGTTGATTTATTTTTAAAAATTTAATATTTCGGGAATAGCAGAGTCAATTGTAGATTTTCAAGTTGGGTATTGAATTCTGACAAAGATCATTTCAGGGTTGCTGGGTGTAAAGTGAGCTGGGTCAGGCTCTTCTCTCCGAAGTGAATGGACATGCCTTCCCAATAGCGTCCTCACTAGGGAAGGTTGATTAGAAAATACCAAAAATATACAAAATAAAATAACAAACAAAGCTAGTGTTTTGACACAGGTTTCCCAAAGAAATACATTATATTCCATTAATAGAGTTAGCTTTATTTCCAGGGGTCATTAAGTCAGAATCAGAAATTCTGTCAACCTCCCCTTTTACAGTGGATGATTAAAATTAGAATACACCCCAGCAGAAAGTCCGACTTCTTTTTTAAAAAAAGGAGAACAGCTGCAGAAGGGGGAGGAGGGGGACGGAAGCAAAGAAATCTTCCACCGAGAGAATTGAAACCCCGTTAGGTTCTCAGAAGTGATTTGTGCATTTTGTGTCTTTTTATTGCACAGGATCTTTTTTGGACTCAGTTTCAGCCCACTCCCTGCATGTGCCGAGCGACTCTGAAGTCACAGAGCCACGGGGCAGCCGGGTCTTGTGGATTTCCGATGCGGGGCCAGCCTGGGAGGGAAAAATGCCTCTGTCTCTCGCAGCGATCAGCCTCTGGGATGCCTGAGAGCGTCCGCGGCTGGAGGCTCCGGAGAGACAGACGCGTCTTTACACCTCTCGGCTGTGCTGAGAATCGCACTCCGGGAGGGGGCTCTCCGGGACACAGGAGGGAAGCGGGGGAGGGGGGTGCATCAGAGCGCAGGTTAGTTTAAAGCTGAATGGGACAGTATAAAAACACCAAACTGTTGATGAGGCTGGAAATGAAGAATGAAAGAAAGGTGTCTTGGAGCAGCAGAGAGAGCTTAAAAGAAATGCTAATGTCAGAGATAGTTGAGGTTCTCCGCCCCCCACCTCCATCATTCAAGTGTGGGGAAAACTGGTGAGACCCAAACTAAAATCCATAGACAGAGACAGTGAGAGGGACAGAGAGAGACATGCTTTTCCACTTGCCTTTCATAGTAGGAGTAATATCAGCATTAGTATTAACATTGTTAATGTGCCTGTTCCCAACCCTTCATCCCCCTCAAATTGTCTTGAATGCTCCTCCTGCCAAGCCAGCCTGCTCTGTCTGCCACCCACCCACCCGCATCCAAGAGTTATGCAGATGTTTATGGCTGAAAAAAATCCCAGTTATGCATCCTTGTATTTTAAAATACCGACTGTAAGTGATTCAAGTATAATCCTTTGTAAAACGCTTTTCTCTGACACGTTGAAGGAGTTGAGAGAGGAAAACCCGGCGTGGATTCCTCCTCCCCAGCCCTTCTCCCACCTCCCACCCTCGCCCCCACCCTATCAGTGTAGGGGCCCCTGGCTGTCCCTTTAGCCGTGCACCCAGGCCAGGAGGGCACCCGTGCCAGCTCCTAGCCCGGTCTCAGCCCAACTTCAATCCTAGTTGGGTCTTGGTTCTCAGCGCTGGAAGCTCAGTAAACTGCTTGGAAAGAGACGCGCTCTTCCTCAGGCTCACTCTCTCACCTTTGCATATAGGAGCCAGGCCATGAGAATTCTGAATTTTAGGCGCTTAGATTTGGTCGAAGCGAACCTGGGTCCCTCCCACCCTGGAACGCTAGCGGGGCGGGGGGACGGGACACGGACAGCAGGTTCCGCTCTCCGCGTGCTATGTGAGTGTCCAGGCTTTGGGCGTCGGCCTGAGGCGAACTTGTTGGGCGGTGGGGAAGGAAGCGAGTCTGGGCAGAAGGGGGAGACTCCAAACCTGTCTCCTGCTGCCCCTCCTCGCTGCTAACGTTTGATTGTTCCTTTCCGTTCTGTAGGTAAGGCCGCGCGCCTTTGGCAGAGGTTTGTCTTTAAGGGGACTTTTTTCAGAGTTAAAGAGAGATGAGAGAGGTTCGGGGACGCTACTAACAAGAGAGCAAACGCGGAGCTCAGGGTGAAGACCAACAGCTCAAGGCTTTGGATCACAAGAGAAAACTGAACGCCCAAACGGCAGATGTTTGTTTGCGGCCGTCACCCTAGCACCTCGGAGGCCCGTCCGGCCTAAAGAGGACGACGGCTGAGCACCACTGAGGTCAAGGTACTGTCCTGGGAGCGCAATACTGACTTTGAAAAGTACCAGGTCCGTCTGTACGCGAGCCTCAAGGCCTCGCCTCCAGGGAGTGAGGTCCTCCAGTGGATGGAAGGAGCGCACGTCGCCCAAGTGGCACCCGCAGGCCTGACATCCGAATAACTTAGAGCTTTGGGTCAGCCCTAAAAGGTTAAAGGAAAAGCTGCAGGAGTAGGGTGGAGAACTTGTAAAGTTGTTAGTTAAAAACAAAAAAGAAAATCTTTCGCTCGGTTAGTGCCCACTGCTCCCCCCCTCCCGCCCCGCCGGCCTTTCCGGACTCCAGTCCGGGCTTTGCGCAGAGCCCACAGCCCAGCGCAGCCGGGCCTCTGGCGAGAGCCAATCAGAGGGCGCCTCTCAGCACGTGGAGGAGAGAGACTCCAGAGCTCCGCGCCGGCGGCTCACTACACTTGTTACTGCTTGTCCTGAGCGCCAAGAGGGCGAGCTCTGGCCGCGCGGGCAGGGCGGGAGCCGGCAGTCAGCAACCGAGAGAGGCAGAGAGGCACAGAGATCGAAATAATATCCATTATAACCAGCCATCTAACCCCCCCCCCAATATACACCCATCCATCCCACCCTCCAGGAGAGGCAGCCAGCGGCCCGCTCTCTGCGCCCAGGGAAAAAGCCCCAGCCATGAGCAATCAGTACCAGGAGGAGGGCTGCTCCGAGAGGCCCGAGTGCAAAAGTAAATCTCCAACTTTGCTGTCCTCCTACTGCATCGACAGCATCCTGGGCCGGAGGAGCCCGTGCAAAATGCGGCTGCTGGGAGCTGCCCAGAGCTTGCCCGCCCCGCTGGGCAGCCGCGCCGACCAGGAAAAGGCCTTGCAAGGTAAGGCTGCGCCCGCCAGGCACGTACAAAGGGCTCTGGGCACTGGTTTGGATGTTAGATGATCGGGGGTCAGTGGCCTGGGGTTGTCAAGCTGAAGTCGGAGGAAAGAGAGGGAACAACTCTGAGGCCTGGTGTCTCAAAGAACGATAAACATCTCACCAGAGGCGGTCTGTCCCTTCCTCTCTACTTCAAGAAAAAGCAGAGGCCAAGCTTCGCATCGGGGGCCCTTAGGTTCTTGCTGTTGGTCTTTAGGTCGTTTAAATGCACCTTTTGGTGGCCTTTGGGGTGCTCTGAAGAGGGGCAGCAGGTCAGAAACGGCAGTTGCTGGGTGGACCCTTGTAACAACTTGGTGAAGACAAGAACCCCAAAAGCTGTGAGTGGGGGTGTCCAGGCAGAATGTGTCTTGGCCTTTCCTCTTTGGAAGATTTCTTTAAATGCGGTGTTTTGCTTTTTTCTTTTTAAATTATAGATTACTTGTAACCTTTTAAACCCCAGTTTTGCAAAAACCATCTCCCAGGGATTCCCCAAATGCTCCTTATTATATTTGAAATGTATAAAATGTGCGGCTTCTGGGTGCTATTTTTTCTTTGCTGTGTTATTTTTAAAAATAGAGTTGAGATGTTTAAAAGGGTTTTTTTCCCTAAAATTAAAAATTGCAGAACAACTATCATTTTGCTCCGAACCTGTTACGCTTAAGTTTCGCCTTGTGCTGGCTGCAGAGGTGTCACAGGGAAAGATTTGTTAATTTCTTGTAAAATCGGCAAACCAGCTGTCCAGCCGCAGAGCCACTTGGAAGACAGGAGCGGACGGCGGAGACAGGGCCATTTAAAATAAAACTGACTTTTTCCTTTTCTTTTTTTAGCCCGCAGTGGCACCTGTGCCAGGCACTTCCTCGAAGGGAAGAAGCAGCCTGTGCCTGTTGCACCCCCCTCCGCCCCCACTCAGGCCCTTCGGAGCCCATTTTCGCCAGGACACTTTTTCTTTGCCTTTCCAGGCAAGGAGCTCCTGCCCCACTCGGGCTACTGGCTGTTGGGGTGCGGCCGGTTCTCGGGGCCACTGGGATGCTCCCCCCAAAGGGGTCGCCCGCGGGCCAGCGCCCCTCCCGCCAGCCTGGGCCACTGTGGCAGAGCAGTGGACGGAGGTCGTGCGCAAAGTTTTCAGGGGATGGTCTTTTTTTTTTAAGTTGTTGAATATTTTCAGATTCTCCCTTGCCTTGAAATGGGAAGGGAGAAAAAGTGAGACAGAGGACAAGGGGAAAGAAAAAGAAAGACCTAAAGGAAGGAAGAAAGAAGGGGGGAAAGCGCACAAAAAGAGAAAGGAAGGAAAGGGGAGAGGAAAGATGAAAGAAAGGGAGTGACTGGGAGAGAAAGAAAGAGAATAAGAAAAGAAAAATGAAAGGAAGAGACAGCGGTCTAAAGAAGGAAGAAAGGAAATAAAGGAAAGAGCAGGAGAGGGAAAGGAAAGCAGGAAAGGATGGAGGGGACAGAAGAAATAAAGGAAACAAGAGAAAGGGAAAGAGAGAGGGAGAAAGATGTAAAGAAAAAGAAAAAGAAAAAAAAAGTGGGGAAGGAGGAGAAAGGGTAGAAGTCTGATGTTACGCGGGGAGCCGCGCGTGCCGGGTCCCAGGCGCCCAGGGAGCAGTGGCGGGTCAGGCCAGGCGGGCGGCGGCTTTACCCGGCCGGCCAGCGCGCTGACCACACTCCCTTGCCCGCAGGCTCCCCCAAGGGCAGCAGCGCCCAGTTCGAGGCCGAGCTGCACCTGCCGCCCAAGCTGCGGCGCCTCTACGGCCCGGGCGGGGGCCGCCTCCTCCAGGGCGCCGCGGCGGCGGCGGCGGCGGCAGCGGCGGCGGCGG